AAAATTCCATAAATAAAAAATTAGGTTTCCATAAAAGTTAATATAAGTGGAAAAGAATGTTTCAGGGACCAAGATAATGATATCCTGTTGACAAAGAGTATCAACCAGCCAAGGATATTTCAGATCCATTGACTTTTTTTCCGTTTTTTAATTTTGTAAGTATACACTAAAAGCAATAGATGCAGTACCTCTTTGATAGGTTTTGTTTTTATGGGTTTGTACTGCATCATTTTAAAGCTGTGGTAGGCTTGCTTTTGGCTTTATATAAGCAGGGGAAAAATTAAAAGAAAGAAATGAATGTCTTCTTCTTTATGCATTGATTTTAGTTAAAATTAGGTTTTCAAATAAAAAATTATGGCGATTCCAATTTCTTTGTGTTCTTTCTTCTTTAATCCAAATAATGGCCTGATGCCTTCGTAAAAGTTAAAAGGTCCAAATCAGCAAGGTTTGGTCAATGTCAATTTTGTTGAAATAATTGGGAAATTTGAAAAATATATTACTATGTTTTATTATTAAATGATTCCACGTTAATTCAAAAGAGAACTATTTTGTATTTCACATTACTAAACTGTCATTTATTTTCAACTCTGGCATAGATTCTGTGGCTTTATACTAATCACTTAACCTTTCTTTGCTTTTGAGTCTTCAAGCAAATAGGAGTATAATGGGTGGATAATCATTAACCTTACTCATAGAATTACTCTACAGGATATCCAAGAATGTCAAATTACCTTAAAACAGTTGTACAAATAATAAATAATTGCATGCTCTCCCCCAAATCCCTTATTTATTAATTTGCAAGTTATTACCTTTGCCCTCTTAAAGAATGAAGTTTGTGCAATGGCTAATTTACATAATTTTCTATTTAAATGCATGTAATTAATGGTAGTAAAATTAGAAAATAATTAATGCTAATAATTTAGAGAATTCGTTTCCTTAGATCTTTTTTCTACGTACTGCAATTTACACATAACAATTGGTCTGTTAGTCCATTAATAACTTAATTATTCTAAATAATTTTATGACTTTACAAAGGTCCTTTCTTTAAAGGATTATAGGACTTCTATTTGATGTCAGCACCCACTCTCCTGTATAATTGCCTTTAGCAGCCTGCTTTCACCAAAAATGGAAATGGTTCCATTTCCTTACAGTGTTCTCTGCTTCTTAACTAGAGCAGAGTTAGTTGTAGGCATTTTTCCAGTATGCCAGAAGCAGTGCTTTTATGGGGTACTTCCCTTCAATTCTTAAATGGAATATACACTTCAAATATGCCTATCTTAGATGTATATGAACACTAACACTCACAGGCTTACATGTCGTCACAAGTTTAGGCCACCACAAAAACAGAGCTCTGTGTGCACCTGGAAACTCTGGGGAAGTTGAATCTCCACGTGATTTTTTTTTGAGCATCATTTTGCACACCCAAGCACTTTCATGTAACTCATCTAAGTTTCAGTTGAAGTTGTAAGGAGTGCATGTGCATCGTTCAAACTTAACCACTTGGGGACACACAGTGCAGATACTTTTAAATCCCCAAAACAATTTTTGCTTTCTCATACAACTTCTCCAGATTTCTTGCTAGTTTCTGTGTGGCACTTTCTCAACCAATCATTTCTCTTCAAACTTAGCCAAGCCTATTGCTATGTAAAAAAAAAGAAAAGGAAAAAAAAACCAAAAAACTTTTAGCTGTGTAGCAGAAGAGAGGAATATGGAGGGTAGAGAAGAAATGACGGAGCGTAGATTGATTTTGATCAATGGTTTTCAAACTGTGTTCCACAGAAGGGTAAACTGGGCTGGCCAACGGGGGAGGGAGTTCCAATGACTTCATCCAAACATTGATTTTTGAATTTTGCTTATACTTGATCTAGGGCTTCTGAAGGGCTTCCTTTGTCCTCTTTGGTATTTTAATTTTGTCAGAATGTATTGATTCAATCCGTTAATAGGCTAGGTAGAGCTAGAGATGAAAAAAAATACGGAAGGGTGTGCGTGG